AACCTTGAAGATTTATACACGCTACAGATCTGAAATTCTTATTAAAAGGAAAGACCAAATATCTTCCCCTCTTTGATTTAGGGGGTCGATTTTATATTTATAATAGTTTAGCCCTCCCACTAATTCATGCTAAAATTAAATAGAATGCGCTTCTCAAGCATTTGCAAAAAAAGACATTTAAAAATTTTCTTATCGATAATGTAAAATTTTTAAACGAATTTTTCTAAACGATTATGTATATGTATAAACTTTAGCCAAATAGGAGAGAACCATATTTGGTTTTGAAGGGAACATCAGACATGGCCGCCCCTAAAAATAATATGTCGAATTTTATAAAAACAATATGTTTAAACATTTTATATTACTAACGTGTAAATTTTTTAATGCATTTGTTTAGCTTGAGAAACGCGTTCTATAATTTTAGTATGAATTAGTGGGAGAGCTAAACTATTATATGTGTATAGGTATGTATAAAATTTCACAAAATCGAAGAGGACCATGTCTGCTACTGTTTCCTTGTAAGTTATACTCTTAATCTCTGACATTTGCAGGCATGACAAAGTACATTATCGTATAATAATATTACTATTCTTCAACACAAGCTAACTACAATCGTCCCGTTACGGTTGTCTCTCTCGCATTTATTAACGTTAGATCTTGTTCCTTTTATGTTCTTATGACATTATCATGCACGGAATAAAACCATTAGTGCTATCATAAACCAGTGTCGTGAACTAATACTGGTCAATATAAACGATCTATTCCTATCTTGCAGTTTTCTCTTATCGTCTTCGGACGATCATCGTCGACGTCTTCACAGTCTCTTCTCCATGATTGCTTTCTGCGATTGCCAATTGAATATCGAACGACATACTTAACACATCAAGTGTTACGAGAAATATCAGTCTACGATGATAAAATTATTTATGTAGAATGTCTGATGAGAGGGAATCGATTACAGCCTTCAATTTACAGCTATGAAAGCTATCATTTTCGCGTTTCTCTAACAATAAATGATTAAATCTAAGTTATTTTATTTGTCATAATAAATAGTTGATTATTTCATAGATCAACATATGATTAAATATTATAAGAAAATTTCCGTAACGCAATTAAAACAAAAACTAGTTTTAGTTTATTCGTTTATTACACATAGGTACAATAATAAGCATACCTATATATAAATAATACATACCTATATATAAATTATAATTTAAGCTGTAAACACAGATATTATGGACAAGATTGACGGTAATATCCAGTCTCGCGAATCAAGTATTTCGCATATTTTAACATTTTCATTTTTTTCTTCCGATACTGAGAGATTTTTAAATGAATCATTATAATTACGATACTTTTCGCAAGTCTGCGATTATTTATCGGAAGA